TTTTAACCATCCAACTCACTCATGCAAACCTCCAGCTCCCTTCTACAACCCTTCAGCTCCTACAACCCCTCCAGCACCCTCTTACAACCCTCCAACACCCTACAACCTCTCCATCTTGATCCAGGGTTTGCGGTTCTGGCAATGGTTCGTCCAGTTTTGGTAGTGGTACAGGTGCTGGGGAGTGTGGTAGTTTCTATGGGGTTGAGATGGGTGTAGTATATGTGTGTGCCTGATGACGAATTGTAGTCCAATCAGTCCATTGGACTGTAGTCCAATCCTGATCATGAACTACAGGGCTTGTAGTGATAGTCCAGAATAATACTCCAATATTCCATGCAGTGAACGTCCAGGACAATACTCTAATATGGCCTGTAGAGAGTCCAGGACAATACTCCAATATGGCCTGTAGTGAGAGTCCAGGACAATACTCCAATATGGCCTGTAGTGAGAGTCCAGGACAATACTCCAATATGGCCTGTAGTGAAAGTCCAGGACATTCGTCCAGTGTAAAACATCCACTTGTGTGTGCAATGAACAATTGCTTGAGTGGGTAACTAATGTTTGTCATGGATTATAATTAAAAAAGTCTATGATTTTGTTTTTCATCTATTTAGATACATACTAATACTCTATCGGTGATCGGTGACTACATTAGGAATAGCTTGGGGCTGGCTGGTAGGTGGGTGCTGGCTGGTAGGTGGGTGCTGGCTGGTAGGTGGGTGCTGGCTGGTAGGTGGGTGCGGGCTGGTAGGTGGGTGCGGGCTTGTAGCTGGGCTGCTGGGCTGGGTACTGGGCTTCTCCCTGGTACTCAACCTGAGCAAGGAAGCCGGAGTCACCGTTCACAGTGTAGGAAACCCTCTGCAGGCGACCGTCGGGAAGCTGGACGTAATAGGATCCCTGAGTGTCGTAGCCATTACGAGTTTCGTCGTGGCCGAAGTCGTTGCCGGAGTAGTCGTCCTTCACGGCCCAGTTGAAGTTGTACTGGGCAGGACCCTGGGAGTTCAAGACAAAATACATTTTGTGCATTTTATAAGAGTGCATTTTATAAGATGGTGTATATGAGTTTATCTTGAGTTGTTATCGTTGCTTCTGGCCAGAGATATCGTATTAATGAAACAAATCTAGTCAGCATAAATATACATGGCTATGTAGGGTACAAATTATACTAAAGTGTTCAAGACAGTGTGTGGACGTACCACTAGTTCAGGAGCGTTGTAGGAGGGAACAGGAGGGTTGTAGGAAGGAGTTGGAGGGTTGTAAGTGGGAGGTGGAGGGCCGTAGGTGGGGCGTTTCTCTGCCGACGCCACGACCACCAGGACAACCGCGAAGAAAACCTGAAACCAAGAAGTTGTGTATTAGAATAACTTCCTTGATTATTAGAGTCCATTATGTGTGTTTCAGTCTAGCAAGAGTTCTTATCTACGGGAGGCGTTACCTTGTAGACCATGTTGTTGGCTGAGGTGGAGGAGCGAGTGTGTTGTCCAGTGGCGACCGCAGGCCGCTTATATACCGGATCTTCACTCGCCCAAAGTGTCGTGGCATCACTAGGTTTTGAAAGGGAAAGGAGAGACCTTGACACTGCCGCGAGAGGGAGTGACCACGGCAGCAACAACTGGTCCACCACCTCAGCGCTTGCCCCGGGGGTTGGGTAAGGCGGGGTTTGTGGGGGACGAGATGGGTGGGGCGGTGTACTGGGGGAGCGAGGTTATGACGGCGGTGGGAAAGTAGTGGAGGACGGGGAGGAGATGGAGAAACAGTTACGGTGGACGTGAAGCTTCTGGCAAGAAGGTTGGAGTTCATGTTCCAGTTGGCTGCCGGATGACTCTTCCGACACCTTCCTCCTGGGGATCTTCTAAGGCCTTAACTGCATTATAATTAGTGGCAAATTTTTCAATGTCTGAGTCGTATTTAAAAAGGAGGAAGTATCAGAACAAGTGTATATGAAGAAGAAAAATAAGAAAAAAATATAAAAATGAGAACGAAAAGTGATGCCAGAAGATAAAACATCAGGACTACAAAAATATATATTCTCAACATTACATTTTTCTCTATAATCATTTTGAGCTAGAGTGGAGGTTAATTGTGTCCAACTCACAGTCTCAGACTGAGCTTGGTTGACGGTCTGATCAGCAGATCTGACGTAGGAATCACAGCTCGGTTAACGGTCTGATCAACAGATCTGACGTAGGAATCACAGCTCGGTTCATCAGGTCCCAGTTTCAGAAATTTAGCAATTTCTTTATCGAATGGTAAATGAGGTCGTCTAGTTACGTCCCACACATATTTATAAGGAAGTTGTTGAAAGTATTGAGTTCTTAATGCACATTGAAAAGTTACCTAAACACCATTTTTTAATCTACTAACAAAATTCTTATCACTATCAAGTACCCCACTAAAGGTCAGCCAATCACCGCCAGGTAACCCACTAAGAGTCAGCCAATCACCACCAAGAAACCCACTAAGAGTCAGCCAATCACCACCAAGAAACCCTCTAAGAGTCAGCCAATCACCACCAAGTAACTCACTAAGTGTCAGCCAATCTCCATCAAGAAACCCACTAAGAGTCAGCCAATCACCACCAAAAAACACACTAAGAGTCAGCCAATCACCACCAAGAAACCCACTAAGAGTCAGCCAATCACCACCAAGAAACCCACTAAGAGTCAGCCAATCACCAAGTAACTCACTAAGATTCAGCCAATCACCACCAAGAAACCCACTAAGAGTCAGCCAATCACCACCAAGTAACTCACTAAGTGTCAGCCAATCTCCATCAAGAAACCCACTAAGAGTCAGCCAATCACCACCAAGTAACTCACTAAGAGTCAGCCAATCACCACCAAAAAACACACTAAGAGTCAGCTAATCACCATCAAGAAACCCACTAAGAGTCAGCCAATCACCACCAAGAAACCCACAAAGAGTCAGCCAATCACCACCAAGAAACCCACTAAGAGTCAGCCAATCACCAATAAGAAACCCACTAAGAGTCAGCCAATCACCACCAAGAAACCCACTAAGAGTCAGCCAATCACCACCAAGAAACCCACTAAGAATCATCCAATCACCATCAAATAAGATGACCAAACCACACACACCAACAGATGGTGAAACGACGACGTTTCTGTCCGTCTTGAACCATTATCAAGTCGTGTCATCCAAACACCCGAACACAAACACCCGAACACAAACACGTTAATTTGTTAAAATGTTGTGTTCTCTGTACAACTTTGTAAAGCATAGCCGGATGCATTTCAACAAGTAAAAGGCCACAAGAACAAGGGTGACCTTGTTCTTCATAAACATGAAGAACAAGGCCACACATACATGAAGAGCATGAACACACACATACATAAAGAACAAGGTGAGAAATCACCATCGACGACCACAAGACTAGTCATGCCACCATCTGATACAAGGAAAATAGTTTCACTAATATGGCCCTGAGAGCTCATGTAATTCTTACAATGAAAGTCACAGGAAATACAATGAGTTCTAAGAACGTGTATATATATATATATATATATATATATATATATATATATATATATATATATATATATATATATATATATATATATATATAAATCTTTTCTCAGGACGATGGTGCTATAAGCTTCTGCTAGCTATTATACACAACAAAATACAGGATGAACTATAAGGACGATATTCAATAATATAAAAAACATATACACAAACTAGTCACTGTTATAAATATATTGTAATAATCTTGAAAACAATAACATAAAATAAGCTAATTGCGAAAAATACCAATAATATTTGACTATCAAGTGGATAAAAATCCATAGTGTAATATATAATATTTAAAATTGTGTACAATAGATTATATTTAATATTAAGAGGACAATAGATAATATGTAATATCGGATGTACATAGCTGCTGATCGTAATATGCCAATTACAAAGCTATGGTGGTCAAGATGACTATGTTATATTAACAAGGTAATCGTCGATTCACATTTCCTGAACAGTTCTCGGTGCCAGGGAAGTGAGGCAATACTGATGGACAACCTGGGGCTTGAGGCTCTTACACAAGTCCGTCCTCCTAACACTTCCCAGCGTCAAGAAAACGGTCAATTTAAAGTAGTCTCTCCTTACCTACCCGAGGACCCAAAACAGAAAACGGGTTAGTGCGTCACTTTCGCCAGCCGCTTCCGTTTTCTAGTACGACAATTATTGGCCTTATGTAACGCCTACGAGCGAAAAGCGACGTTCTTTGTAGGACAAGTTGCTTATTGAACATAAAGATGTGTATTGAATAAAGAGGAACCTTCCATTTTCTTTGTGACAATCCCTTTTTAAGCCAAAGGAACAGGATGTATGAAACACTAAGTGTCCCACATACGAAACCTTTACATCTCTCCTCAATTATGGCGGCATAATTTGTAATTATTATGCAGTTTGCGAGGTCTGAAGTTGTCTATAGCTTGAATTACTTAGCATTGAGAACGAGTTCGCAGAGTACCCAAGCACGTATATTTTTAATAAATACAGACTAATAAGCCGCTATTACTGCGGAATGATGTACGGGTTTCGTAAGTAGAAACACCAATGCTTGATGAACACTGGCTCTGAGTTCAGAACCGCAAGAGTATATTTGCTAAGCTGAACCAATGAACAAATGATTAAGCTGATTGTACCAACAAAAAGAAACGGTATGTCCAAGATCTCACACATGTTCTCTGACCCTTAGTTGTTTACCCACATGTTCTCTGACCCTTAGTTAATCATACTCACATGTTCTCTAACCCTTAGATAATCCTACCCACATGTTCTCTGACCCTTAGATAATCATACCCACATGTTCTCTGACCCTTAGTTAATCATACTCACATGTTCTCTGACCCTTAGATAATCATACCCACATGTTCTCTGACCCTTAGATAATCATACCCACATGTTCTCTGACCCTTAGTTAATCATACTCACATGTTCTCTGACCCTTAGATAATCATACCCACATGTTCTCTGACCCTTAG